TGTTTTCAGTGGGAATACGTTGGCAATTGAATTATGGATCATACTTTTCCGTATTTGAAATATTCTGTATTTTTTGGGGGGGGAGGAGGGTGTTATCTACTATTTATTTGAGAGAGTTTGTCTGTCTGTGCATCTGTCTGTCTTTTCAAGAACGCTTCCTTAATGGCAAAAGCTAAGCCCACCAAATTCAGTACACAGCTTCTGCTTATCACAACTTAAAGCAGGGTAAGGGTTTGGTTGTGCTAGGAAAATGGGATGTACCTAGAATGGGACTGCTTCTCATAAAACCCTACAGAAAAGAGACAGAATCACCAGGCAGGTGAAAGGTGTAGCCCTCCATCTGGGACTGCCCAAGGCTTGAGTCTCACCCTCTCTCCCCAGAAATCTTATAGGAAGGATGGTGGTGGGATGAATCTTCCCCCCACCCTGATTCGTATGGGACCAACGCTGGCTGTTCCCCTTTGTCAGGGAGAGTGCTACATTGCTCATTCTGCCTGGGGAGGGAGTGGGCAAACAAACCTGGCCCTGCCCCATCCAGGGAGCATTCACATCTCCCTCAGCTATGGAGCTCCTGCGGCCATGAAGAGCTGCTTCTCACCAGACTCTAAGATGCTGGGGTGAGAGAGGGCTGGGGTAGTCCTTTCTCCCAGATGCTGCAACCCTCCCCCTCCAGGACTGCCCCATCCCCAAGCATCTCAACCCCTAGATGTACCCTTTTGGACTGAAGCATCCACTCTCCCCACCTGAGTCATAGGAGAACATTACTGATTGTTCTCCCTTCATCAGGGAGTGAGGCAAAATTGCTTTTGTTCTATTCCTTACTCTGACTGGGAGGCACACTGGGAAGATGAATCTGGACCTGCCCCAGCTGGGGAACATGCATCCCACCCCCATGCATACCTGCTGGAGCTGCAGGGGCCATGAAGAGGTGCTTCTCACGTGACCCTAAGCTGCTGCAGTGAGAGAAGGCTGTTAGTCCTCTCACTCCAGGGCAGACTATACCCCTCATCCCCAGACCCAATCCAGGACAATGATTTAAAATGAAGGAAAACAAAAATTGAGTTAAGTACCCGAGCAACTCCGGGTACTATTATATTAATCTTCTAATATAATATATTTTAAACCAGGTGAGGGCAGCTGTGCAGACAGTATAGGAGGGATGGGAGCAAGAGGAGAGGCCATTTCATTAGTTCAGATAAGCACATAGACCCCATTCCTTGCTTCTTCATGCATCCATCTCTAGAACTTTATTTATGATTGGGTTAATTACAGTTAACCCAGCTATTGACTAAGTTTAAAAAGAAATGACAGAAGAAAGAGTCTATTAAAAAGGGAGGGAAAAAAGCATGTCAGAAAAATTGGCATCCTTATTTAGACAAAAATGTGGTATGAATCCAAAATAATTTTGGAATTGTAATGTGCAATAAGAATAAAAAATTGCTGCTGATGGTTATGTAATTGGTGAACAGAAGCTTACATTCCATGGTGACAGGGACATTAGCTAGATAACAGAGAAGGCACTGCCATCACACATTGATACAGCATCACAATATGAACTCAAGATGCCATGTTGTGATTAGTTTCTAGCCTCTTTGGCTCTATTGAGTTGCTTAACTTCCTGCTTGAAGTTGTTTAGATTCCTGCTATTAATATTTGCATATCACTGGTTTTGAATATTAATTGCTTATTGGCCAGCTACAGAGGGAACACTATTCACTGACCAACTCAGACAAGTTCACTAAAGCTGAAGGATATCGTTTAAAAAAAACCCCACATCTAGCCATTAACCTGCAGAGATGCTAATAATCTATATGTGGTGCTTCTTGAAATGGTTAACCATTACATTGTTTTGCAAACTGCTGATTATTTGGAGAGGACAAATATCTTAATTATAGTAAAATGTAAGATTTTTTAAGACAGTCTTTGAATAAATCTATAGGAAACTGAGGGGTGGCGGAGGGGGGGGGAGGGGAACCCTGATGTTTTCTAGAGACTTAATACAGATATTTTCTTTGGAGGAAAAAAGAGAGACTTTAAAAGGGAAAAAGAACCATCAGAAGTTCTTAATAAATTCCGGCACCATTACACATCGATTAAAAACTAATGTGCTGTTTTTCTTAAGGGGGAAAAACCCATTTCTATAACGCACATAACATGGAATTTACTAATGAGCCCAGAAACTGCCTTTTTGTGCTGTCTCCGATTTACTTGCAGATACACATGGAGAAGGAACACAGTGAATGTCTTTCAAAAGATTTTTCAGAAGGTTTTGTGTCTGCATTTTAGACAGAAAGTGACACTAAGTAGGATAAAAGAAAACGTACTTTTCACAAAGTGGCAATCTCCAAGGAGTAAAGCGAGAACCTTTGAGCAGCACATGCGGGGGGAGAGGGGTATGTGTGCTTCAGTGTGTGCTTCAGGGGATTAGTAATAAAGTAAGATGATATTCACTTATAAGATGCTGGTTCAAATCCAGCCAATTCAGGTAGCAATCAAGAGCCAGGATTACCTCTTTGGTTGTGTACCTGAAGATGTTTGTTATGGTGGGATGATTTCTAATAGGCAATTATCAACCTCACTAAGAAAAACTCACCCACTTATCCCATCATTGTCTATTTTGAGAGAGAAAGGGAAATGTGGAGGAATGTTTCACACTACAACACCGGTTCTCCAGGGGGGAGCTGGACTATGTGTGGAAACTTGCATTGCCAGTGGTTCTGTTATGATGTGCCCATGTTTTTCATAAATACAAGACAGCTCTGCAAGGTGTTAAACCAGCAACATTTCTATTCATGCACTAATGATTAAGCAGATGTGACAATGAAAGGGGAATTACCATACACAATTCAGGTGTTTAGCCTTTGGAGAGTACATCTAGCAGTATGGAGAAGCCGGAGCATTTTTTAGGGTAGAGATTAGAGAAGTGAGAATATTTTGAATTTCAATTCTGCAGCCTGCTTCTCTTACATTCTGCTTGTTAAAGGGTGTTTGCAGTGCATTCAGCGCAGACAGAAAATTATCAGGTATGGCAAAGTTCCCCTTTGTTATTATACCTCTAAGTCATTTTTAGGCTTCTGCTCCACACTGAGCTTTTTCCATTCCACTTAGGTGTGACTGTCTAGAACTGTGGTCACCAACCAGTAGATCGCGATCTACCGGTAGATCTCAGGGGCTCTAAGAGTAGCTCTTGAGCCCTCTCTGAACTGCGCACTTGCGCAGTACATTTACATTAGATTTCTTCATGTAATGTAGGCGGGGCTTCAAGGAAGGGGCAGGGCAGTAGATCTTCACCTGTTCTGAGACTTAAAAAGTGATCTTGGGTGTAAAAATATTGGAGACCACTGGTCTAGAATCTACCTCATTTGTGCTTTTAATTTTTTTACTCTCCTCACATATCACATGCAAACAAGCTTCTTGTGGAAAACAGACATATTGTTTCAAATTCTTTGCCTCTGTTTCATATGCAGGCATGTAGGATAGTTGGTTGGGCATCATGCATCTTTGACCAGTTGACAACTCCTAATTAAAAGTGTTTTATCTTGTGCCCTGAACTGAGTCTGGGTAATCTGAAGTTGAATCTCTATTTTCTAACACAAACCCAGAAAAGAGCAACCTTCTGGGGGGGCAAAAAAAAACAAACAAAAAAAACAACCCAAACAACATCTGCAGTGTTTGTCTGTCTTCATCAATTTGCTGTTTTTCCATATGGAAAAGGAGCATTTTTGCTCAAGTGGACAAAAAAAAGACATTATAGTTAGCACTGACAGCCCTTCTCAGTTTTAGATTGTCTCTTGAGACATGGGTGGTATATAAAGTGCACCATTCCAGAAATAGAGACAGGAGATATCGGGTCTCACAGATACATCCCTCAGACAATCTCCTTCCCTTCATTCTCTTGTTCAGTCCAGGAGGGCATTACATTTTCTGAAGGCCTATACCAACAGAAGATGTAGCCCCATGCCCCCACAAAATAAGGGAGTCTCCTACCTCTAGTTGAGGTGTTTGGAAGAGGCAGGTGACTGGGAGCTGGGGCCCTTGAAACAGAAAATGCTCCTGAGGTGAGAAAGGAAGTTACATTACAGTGAAATACAGGGAGCAAAGAAAGCCAAGGTAACTATGGGCTGAATTAGCAAAGGCATCATAACACAGACCAGGAAGGAAATAATCCTTTCCTATGTGGTTCTGTGGAAAATGAATCTTTAATTCAGTCTTGGGCACCTTGGCCTCCCAAAACTGAAATGATTGCAGAAAACAACAATATAAAAGATTTGTGAGGAAGAACTGAAAAGCATGAAATATGTACTGTATGGCTCTATAAAGGGAAGATTATAAGCAGTATCACTTATATGATATGGGATGAAAAGGAACAAAGGAAAAATAGTTAATTCTTATGATTTTTTTCTATATTTAAGGTAGTACCCTACTACTTGAAGGGCATGTTAGAAGAAATTCAGAAGGACTGAACACAAACTAAGCTCAGAGAAAAGGGTAATTAGAAGAGATTAGTGGAAATAAGAAACATATATGCTTTTTCTTTAATTATGAGCGCTAATTACATCCATAGTAATGTCAGCAAAATGGAAAAAAATGCCAAATTTTCCAACTATATAGCTTAGTTTAATTTTGCAAATTCTGCTTTGCTTTTAAATTTCAAAGTTTGACCAAAAATCACCCAGGAAAAAAACTTTTCAAAGTTTTAATTAAACTCCCATATATTATAATCAACTCTCCTTATACCATCACTCTAGGCAACACAGCAGAAGTGAGCCTTCAAGGACCTGTGTCAGGCTGTCTGCAAACACATGAGAATATGTCGGATTGGAATGAGTAATATCTTCAGCAATGGAGTGGGTAAATTTCTCTCTTGAATATAATCTTAATGTAATCTGTAAACACTATATTCCTTGTCTGTTATAGACAAAAGCCAAATAACGATTAACCGGATGCCCTTTAAAAGTGACACACAATTTTAATGAGTAAAATAAATATGCATTACTTACAAAAGTTGTATTTTCCAATAATAATGTGGTTGTATTTGTTTCTACATTCAGTTTAACAACATGTCCATTCCTATTTTTATACACCACTTCAGTATCTGCAACAATAAAGGCATTAACAATTAGCAAAAACATTGAGTATGTAATACATCTGCAGAGACCACAGGTATATTTCACAAAATACAAATAATTTTAAGACACATGGACACACAAAAACGTGTGCAAACAGACTGAGGAATGAACTTCATTCATATCTATTTTGGTTGCTTGTGTTGAGATCATTAAATAGATCAAGTTGTTCATGCCCCAAAACCTGTTCATCTGATTTAAAAGGAATGGTTGTGAATGGGGTTATTTCTGTGAGTTCAGATTCCACCCTCCTGTGAACAAAGCAAGTACAATTATATACATAGTTTCAAGGCTGAAAGCTCTTGCTCACAGGAACATTGCTGTATCACAAGTGGATTCATTAAAGTCGATGGAGGAGTCACATGATGAAGAGCTTTTCAAGTGGACAAGGTTTTGCAGGACAAACCTGGGCATCCTAATTCTTATATGAATACTTTTCTGTCCCTTTCCATTAAATACGTGTGCTGCACTATCACCTGCACGTGATCCCACCTCTGCAGCAGACATATTTAAAGGAATAAGACAGATGTATAATAAAATCATTCAGGTTCTCTCTCACTTGGATTAATTTATACAGAGGAATTTTCCACTATTGGTTTAATAATTTTCAATCAGACTATATCTAACATTTTTCTGTTCTGTATTCCACTTAGGAGTAGATGATGTAACGTGTAAGTCACAGGACTGAGTTACATTACACTAGCAGATAAGGATTAAGATATACAGCCTCCAGGCGGGGGAATGAGAGTGCTCCCCGGCCCCTTCCTGCAGCTGCACAGCCTCCAGCTGGGGGAGCGCTCATCCCCTGGTTCCTGTGCAGCCACAGGAGTCTGGAGGCAGTGCAGTGGGGGAAGGGGTGGGGGAGTGCTCACCACCAGGTGAGTTTAAAAAAAAAAAAAAAAAAAGGTATATCCCGCCCCCGAGTATACCCCGCAGAGGGGTGCGGGGTTTGCAAAAATGAATATAACCTGCGGGTTATATTCGCTAAATTATGGTAGTTATGTTTGGAGCCATTACAGTATGTTCCTTGTTACGTACAGGGGCGGCCCGTGAGTATAGGCCAACTCAGCCGTCTAGGGCGCCGCCTTCAACAAGGCGCCTGGAGAGCCAAACTATGACGTCACACTGACGTCATGCCGTTGAGGGCCGTGCAGGTGGGGGCGCTGATCGTGCGTTCCACCTCGGGTACCAGCTGCCGCAGCCCACTTTGGGCCACCCCTGGTTACGTACATACAAAAATAGTTATGTTAAAGTCTGTAATGTGACTAAATCACCACTCAACAACTTTTCCTCCTTTTAAACAACATAATAAAAGAGTAATTTATACAAATATATTCAAATTATAGACAAAATTACATGGGCTGGAGCACATGACTTATGAGGAGAGACTGAGAGATGTGGGGTTATTTTATCTACAGAAGAAAAGAGTGAGGGGGGGATGTCATAGCAGCCTTCAACTTCGGAAGGTAGTTCCAAAGAGGATGGAGAGAAGCTATTTTCAGTGATGACAGAATGTGTGGCAACAGTCTCAAGTTGCAGTGTGGGAGGCGTAGGTTGGATAGTAGGAAAAAAAAATATTTCACTGGGAGGGTGGTAAAGCTCTGGAATGGGTTATTTTGGGAAATGGTGGAATCCTCCTCCCTAGAGGTTTTAAGTCCTGGCTAGACAAAGCCCTGGCTAGGATGATTTAGTTCGGGTTAGCCCTACTTTTAGCAGGGAAGTGTACTTGACCTCTTGAGGCTTCTTCTGGCCTTATGATTCTGTGATATAAAAGGTACATCAATAGCTGTGATTATTATGAAAATACATGGGTTAAGAAAGGTATGCTAGCCTTGACTTTCAACCCTAAGATTGTGTCTAATGTATCTTCATCATTAATTAGGGATGAAATTCTACCACACTGCTATCACCATTGAAATTGAGTTTTGCTATTCTCTTTAGTAGACCAAGCACTGATCCTTAGGGTTTTTTTTTTAATTTTTTTTTATTTTTGAAGGAATTCTAAAGCTACAATACATTTGCAGAAACTGTTACATCTATGTTTGTAAACACTTTAGGGTATAACCAGATGAAGTTTTTGATTAAAATCGTAGAGCTAGATTTTGTCTAGTCCTAGCATACCTGCAGAAAGGGAAAAAGCAAGGAAAACCTTTCCTGCAGATACACCATTTAATCAAGTACAATTCCCTTGTAATAAATATCTGAAAAACAGGAATATAATGAAAATTAACTAAACCAATAGGAAATGCTAAAATAATGCTGCAATGGAATAAAAAAAAAATCACTAACTCATTGTAATGTCTGTAAAATTGCCAGTCCATAAAATGGTAGATTACTGAATTTTATGAACTAGCAAGCAAACATGACTTAGAAAAAAAATCAAAGTTACAGCATCACAAAACATGCTTTATTTATTCCTTTAGAGAAACATAGTTTAATATTGATGAGCAGCACAGCAGAGTGTTCTGTAGTATTATTTGTGAAATTAAAGAAGTTTAATTAGGAGGCTTCACTAATCTAATATTCTGTCTTTGGTGAAGTGGGATTGATCAAGGTTTAGTCAGGATTATTGTATCTGTGGTTCAGAAGTGAAAATGAGGAAGGTTGTGAAGTGCAGAATTAATAGATGCAGTTCTAAAAAAAAAGAACACAATACATTTTTAATAACAGACAACACTTTGCAGGCAACTATTGTTCCCAGCTTACTTGCAAGACAGTAATACCTTCATAATATACTGGCATTCAAAGATTTTAAGTGTATGTGATCTTTATCATTCAATAGCATTAAATAACCTCTCCCCCAAAACAAAACTAAAGTCTCATTTTGACAGGCATTGTTATATAGCAAGACCTGGTGCCTGTCTTGAACTTAAAAATGTTTATACACAAGTCACACACAAGATGAAGGAAAGGATTCCTCTATCCAGCTGCTATTTTGTATTTAAAAAACACAAAACAAAACAAACCCTTTGCTGTTCCATTAGCAATTAGGATTTCCAGGTGTCCAGAAGATCCGGTCAGAAAGGTACCCTGATAGCTCTGGAAAGCATCCGAGCCATTAAAAATCCAGTTGATGGGACTGGCAGGCTCCCTTACCTGATCAGAAGCAGCAACACACACCCCTGGCTTCTACCCCTGCCCTGTGCACCAACTGCGCAGTTCTTGTGGGCTGGGAATCTCAGCCAACGGGAGCTGTGGGAACAGTGCATACCGTGCAGAGATGCCTGACCATGCTTCCGCCTAGGAGCAGAGAGCCACATTATGCTGGCAGTGGGCAAGCTCAAGTAAGGGTCACCCTAATCGCACTTCCCACAACCCCAACCCACTGCCCCAGCTTAGAACCCAATGGCAAACTCCCTCCCAGAACCTCCTCCCCACACCTCCTCCCATTCCCCTGCCTCAGCCAGGAGTCCCTGTCAGCATCCAAATTCCTTCCTGGAGCCATAACCCCTCACTCCTTGCACCTGAACACCCTGCCCCTGGTCAGAGCCTCCTCCCACACCCTGAATCCTTCACCTTTGGCTCCACCCCAGGGTGTGTCTACACAGCCAAGTTATTTCAAAATAATGGCCATTATTTTGAAATAATGCGAGTGTCTATACAGCAATTCTGTTATTTCAAAATAATGGACGGCTTATTCCAGTTTCTGTAAACCTCATTCTACAAAGAACACCACCTATTCTGAAAAAGCTATTTCAAAATAAGGCGTGTGTAAATGCTCCACTTCTGCTATTTTGAAATAGCCCCTCACAAGGGCCATTCTAAGTCATTCCTCCTGGGGCCTTAAACTGAGATCACACATCTACATTAGGGAACCCTGCCTCGATATTTTTGAGGCTTCCCTGCAGCATAGACGTGCTATTTCAAAATAAGCAATTTTGGAATAACTATTCCGGAATAGCTTATTCCAAAATAACTGTGCAGTGTAGACAGAGCCCACATCCCAACTCCCTGCTCCAGCTCAGGGTCCCCTCCTGCATCCTGAACCCCTCATTTCTGGTCCCATTCTGGAACCCATACTCCTAGCATAGATCTATACCCCTTCCAACATGTCAACCCCTGCATCAGACCTTATCCCCCATCCTTACTCCAAACCCCTTGTCTCCATCCCACCCCAAATTCCTCATTCTTGGCTGTACCCCAACTCTCTGCCCTAGTTCAGAGCCCCCTCCTTCCCCCCGAAACCACTCATTTCTGGCCCCATCCTGGAGATGGCACTTCCATCCAGAGCTTTCAACCTCCCCTGCACCCCAACCCCTGTCTCAACCAGGGTGAAGATGAATGAGAGGGTGCTGAAGAGTGAGTGACAGAAATCTGGGGGTGGAGTGAATGGGGATGGGACCTCAGAAAAGGGGCAGGGCAAAGGTGTTCAGTTGTGTGTTATTAGAAGGTCGTCAACCCTATTAGCAACCACCTCACAGGGTCCTGGTTGATGACTAGAAATCGTAGGTCCTAGTGTAATGCCACCTACCATCATTGGTATGTGCCTGATACTACATGGATCTCCTTAAATATTTAAATTAACCATTTCACTGCTTCCTCACATACATCAGGCAAAATGTACTTTGAAACCCATGCTTTGGGACGCAATCCTACAAAAACATTGGCACATTAATAATTTCACTTGTAATAAGTAGCCTCATTGAAGTTAAAAACTACTCATATGAGCAAAGTTATGCCAGTGCATAAGTGTTTGCAAGATCAGGGGCACGATATGTAGCGCCAAAAGTCCATTTAGCTAGAGATAATGGCATGTGAGGCAGCTGTGAAATGGTCAACTAATTAAACGAAACTTAAGAGTTTGTTTTTTATTATAAAGTTGGAAGAGAATGTTAGCCTAATGGTTAGCAAAGAGTACTGAAGTCTGGACTTCTCAGAGTGAATATACCTGGATTTTGACAACACCTCAGTCTTCCATCTGCATACTGGAATAAAATCATACTGTAGTGGGCAAGCATTCATTACAGGA